TTCATGAGGTTTGACTGTCAATTGGCCACAGTTGACTTTTTCCCCAATACAGCTGATTTCTAGGTCAACTGTCCAATTGACTGGGCAAAACTTGGAATCAAGACTTGAAACTTGGCATGGGTAAACTTGGGAGTCCAACATGAAGCATGAAAGTCATCTTAGGCATTTTAGGTCAAAACATCCTTAGGCAAACACAAACCCTAATTTGAGTCCACAGTGCAAGGAGAAGTCTTGAGCAGAGGGAACCCTAACTGGATCTTGATCTTCAAAGGTCTTGTGATGAGGAAATGTTGAGGAAATGGGAGGGAAAATTTTGGGGTACAACAACACTTGTTCTTCTCCTTCGAATCCAGCATTAGAAACGTCACCTTCGTTTCTTCCCTTCGAATCCAGAAGTACTCAGAGCAGCCACTCAAGGTCCAGCCCACACGTCCCAACTTCAAGCAAGGTAAGTCACTCTTAACCTTGAACCTTTCGTTTCTAGCATAATATGTGAATAAACTTTCCTTTTGTTTCAAACATGTACATACCATTGTTCTTCTTTTCGTTTCCACCCTTTTAATTTGTTTTCACGGCTAACCCTTTTATTTTTGTTTATTGAGTTATTAAATATGCTCTAAGAATTAACTAGGCCGTAAGACAATGCTAGTATGGACTCAAGCCACATAGCTATTTAAAATCTCAAACAAAAGAAACAAGGGGAAGGAAGTATGAAACGAAGGCTTAGGCTTTCACACTAACCTCCAGGTCCAAACGAAAGAGGCAGCCAAAAGAACGCCCACACCGATTCCAGGCCCAGTCGAAAGGCACGCCCCCACTGATTCCAGCCCCCAGTCGAAGGAGGCAGAAAGGCAGAATCGAAGGCTACATCTTATGTCTCAGGTTAAGCCCAAATGGAAGGGCATGACCTCACTGACTCCATACCCAAATTGAAGGAAGCCAAAAAGTGCAAATCGAAGAGTGTGGCTGCCTGAATCGAAATAGCCCATTTTTCCTTCTTTATTTTATATTTACCTTTATATTTTCTCTCTATTCAATATGGTTGTAATAATGTAGGATTTATTTTTTTGCATTTTTATTACTTTTGTACAATTGCTAGTAAGATAGGGTATGTATGATAAGATAAAATAAACAAGTAGACAACCCCTAATCAAAGATTAAATGCATGCAAATCAAACACACTATTCACACATTCACCCTTAGGGTAATCTCACTTGTTGCCTCAGAAAAATAGTCACGTCCCTCGAATATGGGCGTTTTAGCAAAGACCTTCGATAAAAGACTGTAGTCCTCGATGACTCTTAATGTTGCATTCGGTAAACGATCTAGTCCCTAAACGACATTTCTAAAACGTCCTATAGGTTGCCTTCTATGACTATACAAACGTCCCACACCCGTCCCTTCACATCCAATGACGGGGCTTCTTACCAAATCAATGGTAAGATAGCAACATCTAAAGGAGGAGGAAAAGAACATTAAAGACCTTTTGAGTAGGTAGGATGCTCCTAGTTACTCGCTTGCTCACAACAGAGACATTTTATACACCCACACTTTCACTTGAAACATTTTCAAAAGACAAATCTCTTTGTACGCGTTCTTATATAGACGAGAACCATTACAAAGACACTTTTCAAAATCACTTTCAAAAACACATCCCACAAACACCTCTTTGAACTATTTTCAAAAACAACACTCTGTACACGTTCTTATAGAAACGAGAGCCATTACAAAGAAGTTTTTAAAATACTTTCAAAACCCACACCACAAGCACATTTTCAAACAAAAGCAAGTAATCTAACGAGCAACTAAGAGCCCGTAGATAACAACAGATGAAAATGGTGCTAACACCTTCCCTTTTCATAACCTACCCCCCGAAATCAAGAAATAATCTCGAAAGGTCTTTCCTATTCTTTTCAACCTTTCCTTATTGGATAAAAGAAAAGTCGATGGCGACTCTTGCTATCCGCAACAATTGCGATCAAACGCAAAATACCCAAGTCAATTCTCCCACCGTATTACACTCACCATGGGATCCCAACGCATCTAGATCCAATACACTCAGACGTGCATCTCATCATGCACTTTCAAGGAGTTCCCTTACTGGATCCAGTGCAACCTCCAGGCTTCCTTTGACTTGGGCCCATGTTGTTTTCAAGATCATACCACCCTTGTTTACTTTTGCTGCCTCCCTCTTTTCCTTTCTTTTATTTATTTGTTTTTATTATTTTCTTTATTTCTATTTCATTATAAACATTAAAATAAAAAATCATAAAAAACATTAGGCTTAGTTTCTTTTTTTAGATTAAATTTTGTTAATTAATTATTTAATTACTTTAATATTTTTTTCTTAAAAGTAAAATTAATTTAGACTTAGGTATTAAATATTAAAATCAAACCACAAAAATACCAAAAATATTTTCCTAATACTTAGACTTTTTAGGATTTTCTTTTTAAGCAATCTCTTCTCATTTTTGTTTTCTATTTTTCTTTTGATATTTAAATTCTAGAAATAATGTATAGGTCACTCATTTGATCTTGTAATAGTTAGTTTATCTTTTCGCGTTTGTTCCTACATATTGTAACTGCTCATGGGATGTAATAGCGTAGGATTTACTTTCCGCATTTTATAATTCCTGTACATATTAACGGTTAGATGTATGGTAATAGGATTGCATGATAAGAATTAAAACCAACGCTAGCAAACTTAACACAAGACAAAAATAATTGAAAACAAACACACTTGCACATGCGTACCTCTAGGGTACTCCCACTTTGTTTGGCTTCGGAAAAATAGTCACAACTCTCGAAACGTGAGATATTTTAGTGGCTATCCTCTGGTTTAAAAAGATCATAAGTTCCTCGATGACCCTCTCGACGTTGCCTTGGTAAAAAATGATCTTAAAATCCTAGGGTAGTTACTAAAACTTCTTGCCAAGTTGCCTTTGTGACTATAAAATGTTCCTTCGAATGTCCCTCAAACATCCAACGATAGGGGCTACCTACTCACTAATAGTAGGATAACACTGTCTAAAGAAAAAGAGGAAAAAAACAAATCTTTCGAGTAGAGTAGATAGTTCCTAGATGCTATGCTCAAAAACAAACTTTTACACATACACAAATTTCTTTCAAAATCTTTTCAAAACGCTTTATCAACACTCTTGAGGACTGATACAAGAGTTATCATAAAGCAAATCGCTGCACTAAGGCACTTTCAAAAATACTTTTCAAAAACACACAAAAGCACAAGGTATTTTTCAGAATGAGCTAAACATCTAAGAGCCCGTAGAAAACTACGGATGAAAAGGGTGATAACATCTTTCCTTTCCATAATCTACCCCCTTACTCAGAAATAATCTTGAAAGGTCTTTTTCTGTTCTTTTCACCATTTCCTTTATAGGATAAAAAAAAGTCGGTGGTGATTATTCTTACCGCAACATTTGCGAATACAATTACAAAACCAGTATAACAGTCGGTTCTGCCACCGTATCACACATACGCTGCCCAGGTTGCCACATTTTTGCCACCAAGTCTTTCAACACATTGTAACGAATTATTTTGTTAGTCAATACGGAACCAACTAAGCACAAATCAAGTAATTCTTCTGGTGTTAACTTGACAGGATCAATGTTAACACGCCCTTAATTGTCGTTGATAGGAAAATTTGATTGCTCCATGAAAACAACACAGAGCACACACTGAAATACAAGCACAATGATTTTCTTGGTGTATAGAAACATAAGTCGATGAGAAGGAATTTGCTTCAAATGTCTATTTAAAGTGAGAATTGACAGACATGAATAGGACCAATAATTATGTATGTAATTACTGTTGATATAATTCTTATGATAATATCCCTTATTGCAGTTCTTGATTTCACCAAAATGGAAACTTTTGATCCATACAGACTTTTCAGCTATAATAACCCCATCCAGCTTAACTTGATAATTATACTTGAAATAACCCCTCCAACCCATTTGTAAATACCAAATCGCCATGCATGTTTCAGTAGAATAATAGAAAATGATAGAATCGATTTCCTCCCAATTAATTGTTAATTGTCAATTCCTTGTCTCAATGTATAGGTAAATAAGTATATAAATGATTTCTCCACTTGTTGCAGGATCGTGAAAGATATTGATATCTTGAATATTTTGAAACCAGAAACAAAACATACTTATTTGCAGAATCTGTCCAATTAAAAGAGACAATAAACGCATGATTCCCAGAAATTCCAAGGCAACCGTCTGATTTCCCCAATTAAAACAATCAAAACTTTCTTGATTCACCAATTGACCAGTCACGCTAAAAGGAATCAATCACAACACCAGATTCCCAATTTGAATTCATAACGAATCAAATCAAATCTCCCCCAAATTTAAGGCAGTAAAAAACTTTTCAAGAAATCAATTAGAGCCAGCCGCACCAGAAAGAATCAAATACAAAATCAAATTCCCAAATTTAGATTAAGTGCGAATCAAATCAAGACTCCCACACAGATTATCATAAGTTACAGGATCATGAAGAGAAAAAGAAATTATATATAATATTAAACTAATATTTCCTTCAATCCTTTTACACCATATGACAAATATGAAGATTTACATTTAAAACTTATGACAAATATCAAGAGCTATTGAATAAAAAGATCAATTTCAAGAATAAAATAAAATAAAACATTAAACCTAGTTTGGTACGTACCAAACTAAAACTTATAAGTTGTTAAGAATTTATCTAAGAATAATAATAATAGTAAACAAAAAAAAAAAGAGAAACACTAACATTCAAATAAAACCAGCGTTACAGGCGGAAAAAAGCAAAAGCAAACAGATGAAATGAACTGGCACGACAAAAAAGCGTCTCCTAATTCCAAACAACAAAAAACAATCAAGTCGCCATTTTTTAACAACAAATCAATATCGTTACTTAATTAGTTATTTAACCATTTTAAACACGCACGTGTTACTCCAACGACTCTCAGAAGGACCCAAACGTAATTTCCTCAAACATCATCCAGCTGTTTCCTGGAAATTACCATAACACCCTTCCTCCATTTTCCAGCTCTGCGTTCTGTGCTGTTCTTTTCATCACAGTTTCACAGCACACGCTCGCTCACACTTTCTAATTATTTCCTTCCAAACACTAAATTTTCATTTTTCATTTTTCATTGGAGAAGAAAAAAAAGAGAGAGAGAGTTTTTAAAAATTTTAAACTTGGAGAATCGAAGAAGAAAGGGTTTGGTTGACCGAGTCAACCCACGCGCCGCCACCTTTAAACGCAACCACTACGGTGGAGTTTGTTACGATGTCGTTTCACGGAGAGATGAAGTAGTTATCGGCGGGATCTGATTCAGTTAAGAACTTTTTTTGCGATTTTGCTGCTGACTAGGATCGGAGATGATGGTATCGCGGGGGCTGTTCGGGTGGTCTCCACCTCATGTTCAACCTCTAACGCCGGTGTCTGAGGTTTCCGAGCCGCCGGAGTCGCCGTCTCCGTATATGGATATCGGTGGAGAGACTTCCGCGTCGCAGCAAATGGAGGCGGAGGAGGAGATGGAAGAGATGGAGGATATTGAGCCGCCGCCGGCTGCTGTTCCGTTCTCTGGACTTTTTGCTTGTGCTGATAAATTTGATTGGTTTCTTATGGTGGTTGGCTCTATCGCTGCGGCGGCTCACGGTACTGCGCTGGTTGTTTACTTGCATTACTTTGCTAAAGTTATTCAGGTTCCTCAGCAGGAGGATCAGTTTCATAGGTTCAAGGAGGTTAGGATTCGTTTCATTTTATAATTGTATGCTTAGCTTTTTCTTTTTAGGTTTTAATTAGTTAGCCAAACGAAACTCATGCATACTGTTCTATTAGTTTTGTAGCTTTATGAACTTGGTTGCATTGCTGTGTAGCTTGATTTAATTGAACTGTTGGTTTAGTCATCGATATTTTTGTTCCTTGGCTAATTGGATTGTGATACTGGAAATTGTTTTGTTGTTCTTCTAGTGTTAGTTAAGTGTTAAGAAAATGGAGAATCCGAGAGTGAGAAGGATTAGGGGTGAGGGTGTGAATCTATGGAACGAAGCCCCATTTATACAAGAATTTGCCGCCCTTATCATACGTGGCTTTTCTGTGTGGGTGATTAGAACTTGGTTTGTCCTCCCGATGACGACCGATAAGATTGGTTCCGAAGCTACTCCTTTATTGGTCGGGCGTGAGACGTGCAGTGCAGCTCTTACATGTCATCTCACGCACTCGCCTTTTCTCTAGCCTCTCTCATACCATAGCTTATGGCAGGATATTAGCATTGGAAACAGTTAGGTTTAGTGTTACCTGGAGCGGTTGAGGTTTAGTGTTTCTCTAGCCTCTCTCACTAGATAATTGAATGTTTGAGCAATGGATGTGATCAATCAAGAACCGTTGGATCAATCAGGGTATTATAATGATTATTGTATCACTAGTAAGCCCCAATATTGGGAAATATATCAAATTAAGTTTCTATACTAACTAAATAACAAGCCAATCATTAATTCAACCTAGTACTGTAAGAGGAGTGCTAAGTATTATGAAGCGTTTTCCTCACGAACTTTACGAGTGGCTGACGTGTGTATGTGAATTAAAAGAGCATCATATAGTTATCTCCTATTTTGGTGGAAATCAGACAGGGGTGAAATTGAAATGATCCAATCATATTTGTTGGCTGCCCACCATGATTCAACATTTCGTAATAACAATCATTTTCCATACCATATACAAAAATTACCAAAATAGACCTTCTACTTGGATAGAAAAATACATAATTATGAGTTTATGACCAAATATAGCCTTGAAATATTACAATCATTATTGTATCTGTAGTAAACCCTAATATTGGATTGCAACAAACCTTATCTTTAAGCATAGACTTTTTTTGATGCTTTTCTCAATGGATGTGATCAAACATTCTCGTATCACTAGTAAGCCTTAATCTCATTACACTAGTACTCAACATTTTAGAAATAGATAGAACTCAGCTGTTGTCTGCAACTGCACAGACAACAATTATGTTGAAGGAAAATAGCGACATTGTTTAACACAGTTTGACCTACAATGGGCTACAGGTTATGTTTTAAAACCTAGTTCATGGTTCAACTGGGTAATTTAGTACTCAAACCGGATGACACTACAACTCAGGTTTAATATATTTTGTAGGATACCCAATTAAAAAAAATTATTCTGTAGGACCCATTGTTTGTGTGACTGATGTAAAAAATTGACTTAAACTTGCTTACCCTTGCTGTTGTGTGTTTTGCAGCTTGCTTTGACCATTGTTTATATTGCTGGTGCTGTTTTTGTTGCTGGTTGGATTGGTAAGTTAATCATGAAGAATGATTCTTTATTAGATGTTGAATCTAAGTTTCCTGCAGTACTGATTTTTCTTTCTTGTTTAATAGAGGTTTCATGCTGGATTCTTACTGGAGAACGACAGACAGCAGTCATCAGATCCAAATATGTCAGAGTATTACTTAACCAAGATATGAGTTTCTTTGATACTTATGGGAATAACGGAGACATTGTGAGTCAAGTACTGAGTGATGTCCTGCTCATTCAGTCTGCTCTCAGTGAAAAAGTATGTTTTACTCTCTGCAAATTTATTATTCTGTGGTTAATATCTCAACACATGCATCTTAGACGATATGTTTTTTGACTTTCAATGATACAGGTTGGGAATTATATTCATAATATGGCTACATTCTTCAGTGGTCTTGTTATTGCTTTTATCAATTGTTGGCAGATTGCATTGATAACATTAGCTACAGGTCCATTTATTGTTGCTGCAGGAGGAATATCAAATATATTCCTTCACAGGCTTGCAGAGAATATTCAAGATGCATACGCAGAAGCAGCCAGCATTGCTGAGCAGGTTATTTATTGCTTGATTTTTTATTTGTTATTGCATTGAACCAATGATATGCTTGATTACATACATTCCATAATATCATTCCAATGGTGAATATTGATTTGATTTGATTTTAATATGAACTGAAAGAAAAAATTGAAATCTGTTTGAAAGTCTTTGGTATAATGTATGTGGTTCTGTGTTTTTTCTAATAATATTCATGCTTTATGGGTAGTATATTTTTGTGACTGGGCATCTAAAGGGGGGAAGTTTTGAAAGAAGTTTTTGATTGAATAAGATTTATCTTTTTTCTTCACTGTGTTATGGAAATTCATGGATCTGTGAAATGAAATGCTCCAGGATTTCTGCCGGTTATTTTCTGCTTGAAATCATGGATTGAATAATATTCTCCCAGCAGTCCTTTTTTACACACCTATAGCATAAATGGGAGGGTGTAGGGTTAGCTGTAAGAAAAAGGTATTGGAAAAGAGTGCTCTGATTAAGTTGCTACAAAGACATGCTAAAATTATTTATATCTTTGGTTGATACTTTTATTTGTCTACATGCTTCATTGAATCCGTAGTTAGTTTATTATACACGGAATAGGTTTGAGGTTTACACTGGTTGGAGGAAATACATTTATTTACTTATAAGGTTATTTTACTCTGTTTTTCTTTGATGATTTGATTTTGGTTAAGTGGAAATAATGGCGAGTTCTTGTTATTTGATGAATTATTCATGTACCTTCGGTTCTGACTGAATAATTTCTTGTCACGCAGGCAGTGTCCTATATACGGACCTTGTCTGCATTTACAAATGAAACATTGGCTAAATATTCATATGCAACGTCACTTCAAGCAACTCTAAGATATGGAATATTAATAAGTCTTGTCCAAGGGCTTGGACTTGGATTTACATATGGGCTTGCAATATGTTCTTGTGCATTACAACTCTGGGTTGGAAGGTTCTTAGTTATGCATGGAAAAGCTCATGGTGGGGAAATTATAACAGCTCTATTTGCTGTAATTCTAAGTGGCTTGTAAGCATCATTCCTAACTTCTATATTTTATTATTTGTTGATATTTTGCTTACCATTTTTGTTACTTGATTAAGGGGATTAAACCAAGCAGCGACAAATTTCTACTCGTTTGATCAAGGGCGAATAGCTGCCTATAGACTATACGAGATGATAAGCCGGTCATCCTCATCTTTTGATCATGATGGAAGTGCTCCCGTGGCTGTGCAAGGAAATATAGAGTTTCGGAATGTTTACTTCAGTTATCTTTCACGCCCTGAAATCCCTATCTTAAGTGGGTTTTATCTCACAGTTCCTGCTAAGAAAACTGTGGCACTTGTTGGCAGAAATGGATCTGGAAAAAGTAGTATTATTCCACTCATGGAGCGGTTCTATGATCCAACATTAGGTATTTGTTTTCCCTTCACAGTTTATATTCATGCTATCTCATTCAAACCATTCCCTGTCATTTCAGATTTAAATTGATTTATCAATCTGTGGTTTCAGGAGAAGTTCTTTTAGATGGTGAAAACATCAAGAATTTGAAACTGGAATGGCTGAGGAGTCAAATAGGACTGGTCACTCAGGAACCTGCTTTGCTCAGTTTGAGTATAAGAGACAACATTGCATATGGGAGGGATACCACCGCAGATCAAATTGAAGAGGCTGCTAAAATAGCTCACGCACATACCTTTATCAGTTCATTAGATAAAGGTTATGATACACAGGTGAAGCTTGATTGACCTGATCCAAGGAAGCCTATGCTTTTTTTTTCCTTGAATTTTTAATTATTTTCTCTGTCTTCAGATTGGCAGGGCTGGTTTAACTTTGACGGAAGAACAGAAAATAAAGCTTTCTATTGCAAGAGCTGTGCTCCTAAATCCATCCATTCTCTTGCTTGATGAGGTTACTGGTGGACTTGATTTTGAGGCTGAGAGGTCTGTTCAGGAGGCTCTGGATCTCCTTATGCTGGGGCGCTCAACAATAATAATTGCTCGGAGGCTTAGTCTCATAAAGAATGCTGATTATATAGCTGTTATGGAGGAAGGTCAACTTGTTGAAATGGGTACTCACGATGAATTGTTGACCCTTGGTGGCTTATATGCAGAGCTTCTTCGATGTGAAGAGGCCACAAAACTTCCAAAGAGGTCTAATACTGCATGCATTCATGCTTCTTCCTTTGCTTTGCCTATTATTTCTGTTTATGGAAAATATAAATAGGTCTTCTAAAAACAGATATTGTGATAGTGGAAAGTGACATCTATGATAAGAATGATTTAATATAATTATAAATGGCTAATCATTATGCTATTTTTTGATCATTTGAATACAAAAGAACTACAAATTTTAATATTTATCGTATTCTTAATGATCTGAGCTTTCAAAAGTGATATAGGAAATCAATTTGTATTTTTTTTTTGCTGTCATGCAGAATGCCTGCTCGCAACTACAAGAAAACTGCAGCCTTCCAAATTGAGAAAGATTCTTCAGAGAGTCATAGCTACAAAGAACCATCATCCCCTAGAATGATGAAGTCACCCTCTCTTCAAAGAATTTCTACTGTATTTCGGCCTCCAGATGGCTTCTTTAACTTACAAGAATCACCACATGTGCAGAGCCCACCACCTGAGAAGATGATGGAAAATGGTCAGTCTCTGGATTCAACAGAGAAAGAGCCATCAATTAAAAGGCAAGATAGCTTTGAAATGAGACTTCCCGAGTTACCCAAGATTGATGTTCACTCAGTGCATCGGCAAACATCAAATGGTTCTGACCCTGAATCCCCTGTTTCACCTCTTTTAACATCCGATCCTAAAAATGAGCGCTCCCATTCGCAAACATTTAGCAGACCAGATAGTTATTCTGATGAATTTTCAGTGAAAATGAACGAAACAAAGGATTCACGGCATCGGCATCAACCCTCATTTTGGAGACTGGCAGAGCTTAGTTTTGCTGAGTGGCTTTATGCTGTGTTAGGAAGCATAGGCGCAGCAATCTTTGGTGCATTCAATCCCCTTCTTGCTTATGTTATTGGCCTAGTGGTGACAACCTACTTTAGAATTGATGGAACTCATCACTTAAGGGGCGAGATTGACAAGTGGTGCTTGATCATTGCATGCATGGGTATTGTGACAGTTGTTGCCAACTTTTTACAGCATTTCTACTTTGGTATAATGGGGGAGAAAATGACTGAAAGAGTCCGGAGAATGATGTTCTCAGGTGCGCATGTTTATTTTTTAGAATATCCAGTAACCACCCTTATATATTAAATTTGAATTTTGATTCTCACGAAGTCAGTCACACTCATTTCTCGAGGTCATGAGTCAATGTCATGTTCCGACACATATTGGACTTCCCATGAATCAAATCAAGTTGGTTCTTGGATGGTTTTGATTGATTCATTTGATTTAACATTAAAATATTCTAAAATAACTGTTAACAGTAAAGTTAAACTGTTAATATATATTTTAATTTGATTTGTTATATTTGGCAAAATTGTCTAAGCATTGCACAAGATACTTGTTAGTCTTTTTTAGAGCAATTTGCACTTGTGAGTCTTACCTAAATCTGTTTACATAACATGGCAGCCATGCTACGTAATGAAATTGGATGGTACGATGAAGAGGAAAACAGTGCCGACAATTTATCCATGCGTTTGGCCAATGATGCAACTTTTGTGCGAGCTGCTTTCAGTAACCGGCTTTCCATATTTATACAGGACATTGCTGCAATTATTGTTGCTTTTCTCATTGGTGTTTTGCTGCACTGGAGAATAGCTCTTGTGGCTTTGGCAACACTTCCGATTCTCTGTGTTTCCGCTATTGCCCAGGTATGCATCTGCTCTTTTGGTTTTTCCATGTAATATATGTTTGGTTTGAACTTTTATGTCTTTTTTACATCACCTCAATTTGTGGAAATTACGCCAGGGATTTTGAAATTCATTGTCATTTAAGGAAATTCTCTTATGTTGATTTTGTGTTTGTTGTTTACTTTCATTTACTAAAATCTATTGGACCCATTTGCTCAATGTGTATGACTTAACAATGCCAGCTCAACATAGTGAATTTGTTAGTTTACTTTTATCATTTGCATCTTAGACAGTTTCTTTGAACCTTGCAGAAATTGTGGCTTGCTGGTTTTTCAAGGGGCATACAGGAAATGCACCGAAAAGCGTCTTTGGTTCTTGAAGATGCAGTTAGAAATATTTACACGGTTGTTGCATTTTGTGCTGGTAATAAGGTAATGGAGCTCTACAGGCTGCAGTTAAATAAGATATTTAAGCAGAGCTTTCTCCATGGATTGGCTATTGGTTTTGCATTTGGCTTTTCACAGTTTCTACTTTTTGCTTGTAACGCCCTTCTACTCTGGTACACAGCAATATGTATAAAAAAGAGTTATGTAGATGCACCTACTGCCCTCAAGGAGTACATTGTTTTCTCATTTGCTACATTTGCACTTGTGGAGCCTTTTGGGTTGGCTCCTTACATACTCAAGCGGCGTAAATCTCTCATTTCAGTGTTTGAAATTATAGACCGGGTGCCTAAAATTGACCCTGATGAAAGCTCAGCTTTGAAGCCACCCAATGTATATGGAAGCATTGAGTTGAAAAATGTTGACTTTTGTTATCCTACTCGGCCAGAAGTGCTGGTATTAAGCAATTTCAGTCTCAAAGTCAGCGGGGGGCAAACAATTGCTGTTGTGGGAGTTTCAGGGTCAGGAAAGAGCACTATAATATCTTTGATGGAGAGATATTATGATCCAGTTGCTGGCCAAGTTTTATTGGATGGGAGGGATTTAAAATTATATAATCTGAAATGGCTTAGGAGCCACCTTGGTTTGGTTCAACAGGAACCAGTTATCTTCTCAACAACCATACGGGAAAACATCATATACGCCAGGCATAATGCCAGTGAAGCTGAAATAAAAGAGGCCGCGAGAATAGCAAATGCTCATCATTTCATCAGTAATCTGCCACATGGTTATGACACTCATGTTGGAATGAGAGGTGTTGACTTAACTCCAGGACAGAAACAGAGAATTGCAATTGCTAGGGTAGTGTTGAAAAATGCACCTATTTTGTTGTTGGATGAAGCTAGCTCATCAATTGAATCAGAGTCAAGCCGAGTAGTGCAAGAGGCTCTAGACACTCTAATAATGGGAAACAAGACCACTATTTTAATAGCTCACAGGGCTGCCATGATGAGGCATGTGGACAATATAGTTGTACTTAATGGAGGACGGATAGTAGAAGAAGGGACTCATGATTCATTGGTGGCTAAGAATGGTCTGTATGTCCGATTAATGCAACCTCATTTTGGTAAGGGTTTGCGTCAGCATCGGCTTCTTTAGACTTGGAATATATGATGTGAGTAATTGCAACTAACCTTGGTTCATGAGAATTGTTGCATGCCCTGCTTGAGTTGAATCACTGATGATTGCTGCGCTTGCTAAAAATTTTAAATGTCCGGTGGAGATTCGTGTATGGCAAGAATGGGAATGATGAAGCTTGGGCTAGCACTTCACTTTGATATAGGCATAGAAAGGGGATACTGTAGCAGGAACAGTGTAGATTTAGTGATTGGTTTGAGGATTTGGGTTGTGGATGCTGAAGTCTTTTGGAGACAAGCAGTTTAGACTTTAGACTAACACCATTGTCCCATGGTATATTATTGATTTATTGTCCAATGACAGGAAGACAGTTTCGACACAGGTTCTGCTGTTGTGACTCTTTTACTGGACTTCCTTTTCCCTCAAAGTCTCTCAAGTGTGGATAATGAAACCTTGAACCTATTCATTAATGTATTTTTGTTTTTTTGTGAAAATTTGTTGAAAATACAATTCAAGAGTTGTAACCCATGTACATAATTTAGCTTTAGTTTATAGGCATTCCATCCAAAGCTGAAGTTACAAGAGTCACAAGTTTTTTTTGTTGTTGGTGGAGATGGGGCTTTTGTAATAGATGCAAATTTCCACGTGTATTTTGTCGAAAACAAACACTTATATTGTTTTTTTAAATTTCAATTTTGTTTTCAAGTCGTCTACTTATATTAAACATATGAAAAAGTTAGCTAAGAGAATCCCACTGCATTATTATCCTAGTAAGAAATGGGAGCTATATAAAGAAAGCATCAATGGCCTACTTCACCTTGACATCTATTTTGTTATCAGATATTAAAGTTTCTTTGGTGAGTGTTTAGCTCATAACTTTGATGACATTCTTCTGCATTACTCGGTGATTGATAAAGTTTATTATATAAATATGCAATGTATTATCAACTAGAAGAAATTTTGTATTTGTATGACAGATGATATCATTCACTTGCAAAAATTTACATATATTTCAAACTTTATATGTAGCCAAATTGGTACATGTCTTGCATGGTTCTGTAACATATCAAATATCTATGAGCCTAAATGAGTCTGCTACCACTTTAAGCTGATTTCGTACTTTTTTCCATCGCCTTTCATTGGCTCCAACAATCAATGTGTAGGATCTTCCTGTATCAGGTGAATGTTATAAGCTTGCATTAGAACATTTACATGATATCATATCACAGGGATTTGAGATGGGAGATTACTTACCATTTCCTATGGCAAGTGTTGTAAAGGAGGCGCTAGCGTAATTTCGCGATGCAATTACATATTCAATTGTATAGTAATGTTTTCCATCTATCGTCCGCTGCATTCAAACCGAATTCAGAAATGGTTGTCAATTTGCATCGGCCATCTAAGAAATTCTTTCAAAAAAAAACAAATCGGAGAAAAAATGAAATAAGAAGAAACCTCCTGCATGTCATATATTGTTGGTCTTTGGTTTGGTGCAGAATATCTATGTTTCACCAAATTAGTTACAACCTACTTAAGAAACAAAATGGTTATCAAGAATAACTATAAGCTAAATTCCATTACATATGAACATAATCTACAATTCTACATCATAATCACCTCTTCCATTGGACCCAATTCTCTGATATCTTTCTTCTCAGTTGGTATGAATCTCACTCTTACATTTTGTAACTGCAAATACCTATCTTTGAATGCAGAATCATGAGCTGTGAAGTCAAATTCCTAGAAAGAAAAGATCACTCAGACAAGACAAACTTGTAGAAAATTATGCTGTTTGTTGAGATCAGTATATGATTCTTACTTTCCAATCCGAGGGATAAACGTACGAATATCCGTCTGTAAAGTCGACAAAAGCTCTATATCTGTCCGGTATTTCTACAAAATAAGACTAATTGTGACTCCTTTAAGTATTACATATAAGAACAAAGAAGTGAGAATAAATACCATCAGCAAAGAGTAATTTTGTTGGTTGCAAATTTGCTGCTAATGCTCCTATACCCAACAATAGAGGTCTTCTCAGGCTCTTACTTTCTGAACTCGAAGATGTTTCCATTGCACAAGAGACATTGTTGGAAGATGAAGTTGAAGTATTTCGAAGCAAACGATTTGAATGTGGCAAGTTTAGCTTATGGGATAAAGAGGGTGAAGTCCATGTTAAAGAGCAGGAAGAAAGTACCATAGTGAAGAGTGGTTTAGAGGTTGAGTTTTGAGATGGAATGAAATATGGGATGGATAGTACGTAGAATTTAGACCATGTGATATGGTTAGAAGCTTGTGGCCATGTGACAATGAAACATGTTTTTTTCTTCTTATTTTCGTATGTTATTTATTCGATTGGATAATTAGTTTAAATATTTATTTTTAAAATGTTATTTGAAATATTTTTTTTAGAATTATTTTTTTATATTGAAATTTTAAAAAATAATTTATATTTGAAATATTTTTTAAATAATTTTTCATAAAAATTATTTTTGAGATACATTTTTAAAAAAAATATCGTGATTTTCAATATATTTTAATTTTTAATAATGTATCATTTAAATTATATGATGATAAAATTAATCTTTCAATTTATAAAAAAATAAATTTAAATTATTTTTGTAATATTTTAAAAAATTTTGAAGCTGAAATTAATTGACCCAGAAGCAAAAATTCAAGAATTCAGTAAGATGTAGTCTCATCCTTTCATACTTTATGGACTAAGAGAACATACAAATGAATAGGAACCCCGAAGCCTGAAGTTATCGATGCAAAAGAATCCTTTATGTAGAATAGTTAAATCTTTTTACTATATGGATTTTACATTTATTATGTACTTTTGATTATCCATGTACTTAGACCATAACAATGTATACTATATTACAATTAGTATGTGGTGTTATATTCTAGACAATTAGTAAGTGATGCCATATTGAAATGTGGTACTATCTGGTTAAGTATCGTATATGTGAATGTCCTTCTAATTATTTACCTTGAAACCTTACTCTCAAAACAGAAAAAAATAGCTTTAATTCAATTCAATTTTATCTTTTAGTGACTGATCTTGTTGCCGAAGGATCTCCGGTGACTCCTAACTCAGTTTGTTTTCTATGTGTTGTGGACTTTGTAAATGAAGTCGTTATTAAAATTTATTTAAAAAGAAAAAATATTGATAAAACACTTAAAGAATTTAAAGAATAAAAAGATGTGTTTCCCAACTAAATTTAAGTTTCATAAGTTGGGTTTGCATAAGAAAGATAATAGAAGACATTCACTTAAAAAAATGATTAAACTTAAATATACCTTTGATTTCTCATATTTTAATATTTTTTAACTTTTAATCAACTCATTTTAAAATCTAATTTTTTTATTCCTCAACTTTATTTAATTCGAATTTTTTTTGCTTCCCTCCAATTTTATATAGACGGTCTTTTCATTTATGACATGACAATGTTACAGTGGAATCAAGCCATATTTTATTTCGTTTTTAATTTAAATTAATTGTTTTTTATTTTGTAAATTATTAACATAATTAATAAAAAATAATATTTTTTAATTCATAATTAAAACTTAATCATCTTCATCTTCTACAATTCAATCGTTAATTAGAGCTTCAATTTTATTTGTCTCTTTCAAACCTTTTGCATCCATGTACAACCCAATTCTTTTGCACCCAACTTCTTCATCTCTCTAAGTATTCATTCTTCTGAACCCAATTCTTATGCATCCATGAACAGCCCAATTCTTCTTTATCCTGTTCAAGTCTTAAATTTGTTTATCCTTATCATTTTAAAGTTGTTTCACAATGAATGTAGTTACATCTATGTACAACCCTTTAATCCCATATATTACCGTTATAGTGTTATGTACTGAAGTTTGTTTCATCTATTTGATTGTATGGATATTCTGGTCATTCATTGTCACCATGGGAAGAAAGCAAAGATAATAAAAAATGTGAATGGGAAAAAGTTTTGGGTTGTGTTTCTGGATTTTTGTCACTCGTTGACTTGTGTTTGTGATTGATGATGATTAATTAGTTTATGGATAAGAGAGGATGGTGATTCATGTGATTTTATTTTTTCAGTTATTAATAACTAATCATATTAAATATATTTAAATATTGAATATGTCCAACGAAGAAGCTAAAGGAATTTGTTCTTTTAGAGAAGTGGACTGAAGACAAGCAAAGTGTTATCCATCAGAAGGTGTTTGATTCTATATGTTACAAACACGTTCTAGAAGTTAGGAGAAAGAAGTTAGATGATAGAAGCAAAGTAATGTTACTGGTGGGGTACCACAGTACGTGTGTGCATAAACTTTATTGTCCAGACTCTAATAAAATGGAAGTAAGCAGAGACGTCATTGTGAAAGAGTCATAAGCTTGGGATTGAAGCAAGTCTCAATCCATTTATGGTGTAGTGTCAACACTAGAGTTAGCTTTTGAAAATACTTTAGAAGGTTTTGAAAATGAGTCAGAACATGAAAGTTCTGAAGAAGAATTAGAGTCAGAAGATGATTCTGGAGACTCTTGTTAAATCCATGGTTTTAAGTTTGACATAAATTTTGCTAAAACATGGTTCTGAACTGACGTTGAGCAAGATGTCATAACATCTTGACCAATTGTCATGATAGGTTTTGCTGTTATGTGTATCAAATAGATGTTGAACCATATATCTTGATATCTCGGCATGTTATGCAGCAGGCGCTGTTGTTATATCTCTTAACATATTTGATTTGTTTTTGAGAGATCCTTTTGGATATATCTCATTATTTTTGGGCAGGTCAATGAGATTTTATTAGGAACAAGTGTAGATTTGATTTGTTTTCATAAAAATGATCTTGGAGACTTTTTAGGAAACCTTGAAGATTTGTTCCTATTTTTATATGAAGATCTTGCAGCTGATTTTAAAAAGTGAAGATTGGATTTGATTTGAAGAGTCCAAGTTCATATTGAAAGAGTCTATAAATAAGGAATTGCTAAATCTAAAATAGTAAGCATTCACATTAAAGAAATCGTGGGTGCAATATAAGGATTGGGGGTTTGGGAGTTTTTAAAGTTCTTTGTGTTTTATTCTTTGTATGTTACTCGTGTATCTTTTAATACATTGAGGTAGACTGGTTGTTACTTGATAGTTTATCAAGTTATTGTTCTCACTCATGAGCTTTTAAGAAAAGATTTGAGTATTGTTCTCAGTTGAAGCTTTTAAGAAAAAATAAGTATTATTTATTTTAAGTGTAATATTCTATTTGGTTCTTTTGATCTAGTCACAAGGTTTGTGCCTGTAGGTATCACTGAGGTGATTGATAGTGAGATGGGGCTCTCATATCTAGAGGTGCCTAGGTAGAAGTTTCACAAGGTAGTGATTAAGAGAGAAGTTATAAACTGGGATTGTTTAGACTTTGAACTAATATTATCATAGTGTATTTTCTTCCTGGCTTGGTATCCCCCAGAGTAGGTGACGTTGCACCGAATTGGGTTAACAATGATTTTGTTGTTAAAATTTTCTGCTATTTATTTTTCTACACAATCTTCAGTTTTATGTTAGCAGATGATTTCATAACATCTGTCTTGATATTATGTTGGTGTTAGGACATCAAGCACCTTGTTCTGTTTATTGGGCGAACTCCGGGGAGAGTATATTCTCTGGTACTATGGATTTCGAGGAAAGATTGTCAGACACTATTGTGTTACTTGAAAGTCAATTCAGTAGAGTTATGAAGAGATTGGAAAGGAAGGAAAGGTCAAATGTCAAGATCATTTTATGTGACATCAATAATAATCATGATTTTCAGAATAAACTTAAAATTAAAGACATATATGATAAAAGTAAAGGAATTCAGTGCCATGAATGTGAAGGATTTGGGCACATTAGAACATAATGTCTTACTTATCTCAAGAGACAACCTAAGGGACTAACTGTTTCTTGGTCAGATAATGGATCTACTGAGGAATAATTTGCTAAGACTGTGACTGCTTTAACAGGAATATGGAATTCTAAGGCAGACTTCAGAAGTGAAGATATATCTCATTATGAATTAACTACCTCCCACTAAGAACTATGCAACAAAAGTGAGAAACTCTATCAAATAAGAGTAAAACAGAGGATGATCGTAGCTAAAATCCATGCTGAGAAGGATGAATACCTAGATCTTTTGTTTGAACATAGATCTTTTGCATGTTGGCATGAAGTCACAAGGCAGGGACCCCCTATGTACACTCTTTCGTTTGGCCACATGTGACCCCTGGCAGGCAAACCTTTGATTGGACAAGAGCCATCTTCACACAAAGCTTCGATTGAAGTTTTGGTTTCCTTCAAATCAACATCTTTCAAACCTAACTCTGGATCCTACAAAGAAAGTTTGAGAAAATCTCATAGCCTTACCCTACTTGTCAGGCTATGTTGCTTCTAAATCTTTACATAATCAGAAGCTTGTACAGAGGATAGAAGCTTTGTCTATTGGATAATACTATTCTTGGTTAAAATAGCAAAAGCTACGTACCCTTTTTTTCATAGAGAGTACTTTCATCACAAAAGCAGCTTCCAACCTGATTCATGTCTGAACGAAAAGCAGTGTCAGAAGCATAAGTCCAATCTTCTGCTAGTAGGCCCCCACTTGTACTAGAACCGTGGGAACAACGAAAAAGGACAAGACTTGTTTCACCCTTAACCAAACCATGGTTTGTCATCATACAAACCTGGTTACTTCAAACACATCCTTTCTTTTCTCTATAAATATAGAAACACTTGCAAGCTCAAAAGAGGACTTTTTGGCCAGAGGAGCGAATCTCCAAATTTTCTCAAACACAATAAATTTCTCAAACACTTAAACATTTGTGAAAACACAAACCCATAATCTAACATTTATCTCTTTCGATTCTGAAAAGTCCCACACACTTTTGTTCCCCTTCGAATCCAGCAAGAAAGACACTTCATTTGTTTTTCTCTTTCGAATCTAGCATCAAAGGCCTAACCTCTGGTCCCTCCCTTCGAATCCAGCAGCATTCAAGAAAACCACTTCAAGATCCAGCACACCCTCTAGTCTCCAGCAAGGCAAGTTGTTCCAAACCTTGAGCTTTTCGTTTCTTCTATAACATGTAAATAAAATTATTTTTCGTAATTGACTCCCGTATCCGATCTCTCAATTGCAAGACCGTGACTTCTCCCTTTTCAGATTTTTCTTCGATGATTTTCCTTTTCCTTCCTGTGGGATAAATAAATACATGATGACGACTTCATTGATTCTCTCTTCAATGATTTTCTGTCAATTCCTTCACTCAAATTCAATTAGGGTTGTATATAAGTAATCATAGTGTGTATCATCATTTATACAATTCAATAATACAAATCTTTATTTACTTATTCTCTCTATTCTTTCCTCACTAAAAGTGTCTCAAACACTAAAAGAAAGATATATGTTGCTGCACTAACTCTTCTACTTCAATTTTCAAGAGTCATTCGATATATTAACTATATACATTCTTATAGTTTAGTTAGTAAAAAGGCTGTTCTGTTTTTTTTTAGGTCTTGGATTCAGCTTTTGATAATTATAAAATTTAACTTTTTAAACCCACAAAAAGTGTTAGATAGTGTGCTAGCCTCTTCAAAGAGATTATAAGACATGCTTTTTCCTTTGAATACTTTAAAATCACTTCATTATATCATTCATTCTTTAAAGAATCACTATATAAATATTACACCTGATGTTTCTGTAAAATTCACTTTTTTCAAATCATTCTTCTTTTTAAAAATCACAGCATGAAATAGACATTACATCCAAATAACTCCCACATGATGTCTCTATTTTTGGAAGCTTTCCCTTCGCTAGCTCAATTAACTTTTTTGCCACTGAAATTTCATTCATTGAATTTGTGAATCCCATCAATTTTATCAAATTTAGTTGCTTCAATTCTATATATTTAGTTTCTTTCATTGAGCCTGAATTGGACTTTGGAGCTGAGTAGCATTTAGGATCAATCTGCATCCAAAATCAAGTGATAGAAATGTCATCAAATAATATTATAGCAAAACAAGAACATCAACTATTAGTAAGTATATGAATCCTACCATAACAATAAGTTGCTCCAAAGCAGGACATAATTGCAAGAAGGAAAGTAAGGCATTGATGCTATTTTCATTTTCATGATTGCCTATCCAGCATAGCTCTCTCAATTTATAGAATGTAAAACTTCCACTTAAAGGAGAAATTGATGGCCATATTAGTACCTACAAGAAAACCCTTTTGGAGTTAAATAATGCACCAGAAAATTACAACTACATGAGCTAGGAACCATGACACCTGACACGGGATTGTCACTTATACATTAGTACCGATAATACTTTAAAAAAATATAATAGTTAAATATAATCGAATGTGTCAGTATCATGTCTGAGCCAGACACGACTTCAACATGAAATGTTTGTGCTAGATATAGGATGACAAACATTTATGCATCATACCAGCAATACTATAAGATGGAATAGGGAGCATACCTCAAAAGTCCATTGACATAAAGTAAGAATTTCAGAATTCTTTATAGTTAATAGTGTTTCATCAAAATCTTGAGCCTTCAAGTCACTGCAGCTTAGGCCCTGTCTGAAATCAAGGTTGGCATGCCTTAAGTTGAAATGAGATTCTGGCCAAATCCGAGGAAGAGGCCCGCAGTATCGAAAAGATTTAAGCTTAGAAGTTCTAAGATGAAGAGACTTCAACTGCAAGCAATCTAAGATAGTTAACTTATGAAGCTTTCTTTCAGACTCAATGAACAAAGATTGCAATCCACAACAATCAGTGATCATCAAGGTCTCAAGATGCTCCAAATTTGAAACTATGGAAGAAGCTACTTCACTTGTCAAATAGCTTATCGATTTCAAAGTGAGACTTTTGACAAAGAAAGTTGGAGGAAGAACAAGATTATTGAGCTTGAACTCTAGTTGATATTCTCTTTCGAGTTTTTTGTTCCCGAAAGAGAAATCAAGAAGAAGCTTACTATTAGTTGCAATAGCTGCGGAGAGTAAATTGTTATCATCAAAGTGAAATTGAAGCTTGCGAGGTTGCTTTAATGGATCAAACTCATCAAAATTGGTTAGAAATTGTGCAACAGCAGTAGTGATGTCATGTATAGTTCCATGTTTAACAAGGATTTGATTCCATAAGTTTCTCCATCTAGTAGATATGAGACTGGTTTGAAGTGAATATTCATTAGGTAGAAAAGATACTATGCAGCCTATAATTTCATCTGGCAAATAGGTAAAAACATCTTCTACGATTTCTTTCATGGAATGTTTCAAAATGAAGATTGAAAATTGATGTTGGTAATACTGTATAATGGATATTATTTATACACGTATTTCACATGGTTTGAATTCAATTCTATAGAACGGATTACTATGGCCCAACCCTATTTAATTTTATTTGAACAATATATTTGAAAAATGAGCAGCGTACAAGGACTTTAAATAAGTGGCGTAGCTTGTAAACTTTGACAAGTTTTCCATATCAGACAAATCATAGAGTATTCTGTAAACAAACAAAAAAAATCATGTAGTATTTATTATTATTAAAGGAAAAATTCGATCAGATAAATAAATGAAAATTTTATTTGAAAAATCGTCAAGAAAGCAGACGTTTCAACCGCCCAAGAACTCTTAATATTATCCTAAAAACTGACGTAATTTATAATACGACTTACTATGAAGTTTTTTTGTTTCTAGTATCCTATCATTACGGTATATATCTGGTATATACTAATTGCTACGTGTATAGGAAAACTGTTTCACAAGTAAATTAATAATTAAGAATTCTGAATTTATCTCAAGGTTGCGGAAGGAGATAATGGACTTCAAGCATTAGTGGCCCTATTGGAATTGATTTTAATTGAGAGCGGTTATATTCATGTTAATTACTGGACCTTTTACTTAAATGATTAAAAAGATTATTTGTTTTCGTGAATCAACAATATCGACATAGATGTTAGAGCACAAGGTTGAAAATGAAGATGAAAATATTGAAATATTATATTAGAATTGATTATATTTAATATTTAAATATAATTCAAGTAGTGCAGTCCAAGTTCAATAGTCATAGTGTATATTTTTATTTTGTATTATTAAATAATACAAATTTTTATTTTCTTTATTATTCTCTCTTTCTCTCTTCACTAAAAGTACCTCACGCACTAACAAGTTGGTATTCAGAATTTTTGGTTATTATTCTTGATCGAGTTTTAAAGAATTTCACGTCAGAGATCGTGTTTTCAGGAAAAATGAATCAACCGTTGCGAAGATGGCTAGTGATAAGGGCATTTTGAATTCTCTTCCAATGCTTGACGGTAAAAATTGGATCCGATGAAAAAAACATATGCAATCCTTGTTTGGCTTCCATGAAATTCTAGAAGTGGTTACCGATGGCGTTCCTGCGCTGACTGTAAATGCAACCGACAAACAGAAAAAAGCCCACAACAAAGTCAAGAAGAAAGATTACAAGGCTGCTTATTGTATTCAGACGGCGGTCAGCACTGCTAACTTTGACGGGATTTCTCATGCTGAAACGGCGAAGGAGGCATGTGATATTTGGTGAAATATTACAAAGAAGGTGAGAAAGTCAAGGTTGTCAAGTTACAAACCTTACATCGACAATATGAGTTATAGTCAATGGGAGAGGACGAAAAAGTTATAGAATAAATGTCAAAGATTCAGAAACTCGTCCATCTCATGAAGGATTGTGTTGAAACTAAAACTGATAAGATAATATTAAAGAAGGTGATGAGAACGTTGACCTCTCACTTTGATCACATTATCGTAGCTATTCAAGAATCCAACAATATTGAAACCACAAAAGTTAAAGATTTGGTTGGTTCGTTGGAGGTGCATGAGATGAGGATTATCGAAAGGAAAGAAGTTCATGACTCGATACAGGCACTACAAGCTCAAACATGGAAAAGGACGGGTGGTTCCAACAAGTTTAAAGGCAATTTCGATAAGACTCAGGGAAAGAATTCTTGGTCGAATCCTCACAAGCATCAGGTCGAAGATAGAGCTTCTAAATCCTCGAAAAGAGGAAGAGAAAACTATCGAAAGGACAAAGAAGACAAAAAAGGTGTGCAATGCTATAATTGTGAAAAGTGGGGTTATGTAGCCAAGAATTGTTGGTACAGAAAAGACAAGGGATCGACAAGCAAGGATAAAGGAGCAAACCTTGCACGCCAAGATTCAGATGACTCTGAAGGTGGTATGGTGGTTATGGCTGCAATTACAAATAACCATGTCAAATCTAAGATCTGGTTCCTTGACTCAGGCTGCTCGAATTACATGACTGGTCGAAAGGAGTGATTGGTAGAATTTGACGAGTCGAAAAAAAGCAAGATAAAACTTGTTGATAATAGTTCGTTGCAAGCAGAAGGTACTGGCAACATGGTTTTTCAAATGAGTAATGGAGGGAAAGCTATGATTAAAGATGTGCTCTATGTACCTAGAATGAGTTACAACCTGCTAAGTGTTGGACAACTGATCGAAAAAGGTTTTTCAGTTGTTATGAAAGATGGAGCTTTGGAATTGTTCGAAACCAAGAACAATTTGGTCTTAAAATCTCCGTTGTCGAAGAACATGACATTTAAGACTATGATCAGCTCAACAGAAGTTCAATGTTTGAAAATTTTTGTTGACTACAAGAATAGTTGGTTGTAGTATTTGAGGTATATACATTTAAACTTTCGATCTCTCAATCAGCTGATTACTCAAGATATGGTATCTGATATACCAAGTCTCGAGATACCCAACAAACTATGTGAAGGTTGTTTAGTCGAAAAGCAATCCAGAAACTCTTATGTTTCGACTACGCCAATGACATCATCATGCATACTCGAAGTGGTACATTCAGATGTATGTGGTCCATTCGAAGAACATACCATTGGTGGAAATATATATTTTGTTTTGTTTGTCGATGAGTACAGTCGAAAGTTATAGATCTATGTGATCAAACGAAAGGACAAAATTTTTGAAATCTTTAAAAGATTCAAGATACTTGTCCAAAATCAGAGTGAAAAGAGGATTAAAGTTCTGCGAACAGGTGGAGGTGGAGAATACATATCCAAGATGTTTGGAGATTTCTGTGCAGAACATGGTGTCGATCACGAGGTAACTGCTCCTTATACGCCTCAACATAATGGAATTGTTGAAAGAAGAAACAGAATCGTATTGGATATGGCGAGTTGCATGCTGAAGTAGAAGAATTTGCCAAAATCCTTATATGGTGAAGATGTTTCGACTGCTGTTTATATTTTAAACAGGTTCCCTTCCAAGATATTGAAGAAAAAGGTTCCTGAAGAAGTATGGAGTGGAAAATGATCATCAATGAGTCACTTGAAGGTGTTTGTCTCTATGTGTTACAAGCATGTTTCTGATGCGAGAAGAAGAAAGCTTGATGACAAGAGTGAACTTATGATTCTGGTAGGGTATCATAAAATGGTGCATGCAGGCTATTCAATCTAGTTAATGAGAAGATTGTGTTGAGTCGAGATATTGTGATTTATGAAAATTCTGCATGGGATTAGAATTCTAGTAATTCAATTAACATGCCATTGATGAGCTCAAATTTTGACGAAGAAACTGATGATGTCGAAGTCGAAGGAATAATTGAGAATCTAGTTGATGTACCCCAAAATTTTCCCTCCCATTTTCTTCAAGGCATTATTCTAAGATTCTCAAATACTCAAGGATTCTCAAGAATTGACCAGACAAACTCACCTCCTAAGCAATGGGTCCGCAACTAGGGTTTCATCTTGTACAAGGGAGAATAGGTTGCAAGGATCTCAAATGACTTTCATGGTTCTTCATAGGTCCTCAATAATTCTTATGTCATATTTCAAGTCTTGCATCACATGTGTGATACAGTGGGAGAACTGACTTGAAGGTTTTACGTTTGATCGTAAATGTTGCGGTTAGCAAGAGTCGCCATCGACTTTTCTTTTATCCAAAAGGAAAGGTGAAAAAACACAGGAAAGACCTTTGAGATTATTTCTTGAGTTCGGGGGATAGATTGTGAAAAGGGAAGGTACTAGCACCCTTTTCATCCATGGTTTTCCATGGGCTCTTAGTTACTTGCTAGATCACTTGCTTTTGTTTGAAATTGTGTTTTGTGTGGTTTTTGAAAGTATTTTGTAAAGAGGCCATTGTTTAGGCAATCTTTGTAATGATTCTCGTTCGTAAGAATGTATACAAAGATGTTGATCTTTTGAAAACGTTTTAAAGTTTGTAAGATGTTTTTAAAGTGTAGGTGTTTGTTTTGAAATTGAACAAGTAATTAGGAGCATTCTACCTACTTAAAAGTCTTTCTTGTTCATTTTCTTTTCCTTTGAAATTGTTATCTTACCATTGATTTGGTAAGTAACCCTATCTTTGTATGTAAACGGGACAGACGTAGGTCATCGTATAACCATGATTAGCAATATTGCAAGGTATCTTAGCATTCTTTTTAGGGACTAAGATCATGTGAAAGGCAACATAGATAGCGTCATCGAGGGACTATGATCTTGTATTTGCTTGTTTTTGCTAAGATACCTCACATGCGTAATATGACCATTTTGTATAAGGAAACCAAGTGGAATAACTCTATGGGTGCTTGTGTGCAAGTGTATTATTTTCATGCTTGATTTTATCTTGAATTAGGATTTTGAAAGTATTGGTTTTAGTCTTTCCATACAAACCTTAATTACTAACATGTTATATATAAAGCGATAAATTGCAGAATTTAAGGTTACTACGCTATTACAATCCTTGTGGGAGGGGGGAATACAAAGTATGAATGGGGATTGCAAGAATATAAACCTATTTAATCTATTACAACCACCGTCCACCACTGTTAGGGGGATTTCGGACAAACCTTTGGACGGAGAAGGCAGAGAGAGGACAAAGAGAGTTGTTGAAGTGAACGAAAAAGGGTTGGTGGCAAATGAAACAATAAGTTTTTGTTTTTGTTTTCTCTTTTCTGATAATGGGCTAAATCCATTTCTTTTTTTTCTAAGTCCAATTCCAACCTTTGCGCACCTTCTCGTTCCTGCCCACACCCTCCCGCTGATAGACAATCCACAACGCCAAAGCCCGAGTTACTTTACTCGTACCCACTCCCATTTTTACTTTTCATTCACGTTTTTTTCCTTCTACTGGGCCTTGCGCCCCATTTTCCCTTAAGCCCATCTATACCTTTTTTTATTGCCTTTCTGATTACAAAATATAAAAACCACTCTTGGGCCAGGCCTAGTAAACAGAAACTGTCTTTTGCA